GACGTTTGACATCCTGTGCGATAAATTCAGCTCCTTCGGTTTTTCTGTGAATGCGCTGTCTCTGGTTAGCAATTACTTATCGAACCAAACTCAAAAGAGTTATGGTGGACGGTATCAGCTTGATGGTCTCAAACAGACATGTAATCATTCCCAATACTCCTCGATTTTTGGCAATAGGAATGTGTTTGGTGGCATCCCTCAGCCTTTTGCCAAATTTCCATAAAGCTGTCTTCTTTCTGTTACCTCTCAGTGATTTTCTTATTGAGGCACAATGCAAATGGTTAATGTTGGCTTCAGCAGCACCTTCTCTGTTATAAGAAGGTAATAGAGCTAGTTAAAGAAGAAGTATCTAATATTACCGAAGAAGACTGGCAGAAAAGGTTTAAAAAAGTAATTTTAGTTGAAAAAGACTATATGGAGATTGGACACTTCCATATTAACAGTGAAAATTATTTCATTATTGACGACAATGATAGTGAAACAGAGAATGGAAGAGGAATTATCAAAAGCCTTCCGAAGAAACTTAGTGAACTGTTGGGAGGTAGATTGCACTATATCGTTTACTTGAACTATGATGATTTTATAGATGCATGAAAGAAATATTGATATTAGAAATATTCCAATTCCTCATTAACCGTTGCTCTAAAAAATGTAACTTGTTCAAATGATGACCTACTTATTTTGTACAAATTGATATTGAATATAGGATGCAGAAAATAACTTTTATATAAATTTCACTAAGATTTTTATTTGTTATGACCGGTTTCGGTTTGTTAAACCATTTCAAGTAAACTGACAAACAAATCCTTTAATAAACAATGATACAGTCAATGTCCTTTTGGTACCTGCAGTAGGTACCTGAAAGCATAAACTAAAAGTTACTTCTAAATTACAACTATCTTATACATATTACCTACTTGTACGCCTACTTTCTAATGAATGAATCTACCTGTAAAGGTCAGGTATAAATTCATTAACTATATGGCTAATTTTTCGAAAGTACCGTAAATATACTCTTAACTATTTTTACCTGGGAATAAACAGATTCAATAATGGTGAATTATTCAATTCAGTTTGATCGTTCATAAGAATCGGATAGTTATCTACCCGATCAGATAACTTCCCGATTAGACAGGTAGTTTCTTTTGTCACAGCTCCTTCAGTAAAAATATCTGAAAAACTCATTGCAATTATTCAAAACCACACCAATTTCAAATCAAAATTCAGTTTGAAGAATTCATACCATTTGATCAATGAAATTCAAGATATTACACTCCCGGATGATGCCAAATAGATTTCATATCATTCGACGTAGATAATCTGTTTCCCAATATTCCTCCGAATGAAACGATTACTCTTGTAGAGAATCTATTGGACGAAAAGTCCAATTCGAAGAGAAGAGGATTAAAGTTATAGAACCTTAACCTCCTCAGGCCAACCCACTACAAATATTTCAACTTTTTTGCACAACAAAGATGTAAATAATGCTTTCAAAACCAACAACTTAGGTATGCACATCAAGAATAACAAAGATAAAAGTTCGGTTTTAGAAAAATCGGGAGTGTATAAATTATCATGTGGGTCATGTCTGATGTTTTACTTAGGTCAAACTGGAAGAACGTTCAAAGACTGCATCAAGGGACACAAAAATAGTTTCCAGAATGGAAAAATAAATTCCACATANCTGCAGCACCACATCATCTGAAGATCTTGATCTAACAATGTCATTGATTAAAAAACAGACACCACCTTATCATAATCACAGATAAAGCCGTTCGATTGTTTCATTAAAAACATCGGCAAGAAATCAATTGTTTTTCATGAAAAAATGGATCATGTTACCCAACAAACCTTCTTCAGAAAAATGATTGGATCACTAGTTTATTTGAAAATGAAGTTTGTGAAGATCAACTCGTAAGGTGTAGTTATTTTATTAAATTACTATTGATCTTCATCGAGTAACGGCCGAATCAATCAGAAAATATTATGGTAATGCTATTTTTTGGTCAATCATATGAGAAAGATAAAGGAATCGTCAAAAATTACATCAAGTGTTATAAATTGCAAGCATGCAACATAGCCGTTGACACATGCATCAAAATATTGATCAAAGCTAAAAACTGAATGCATAGGTGAAATGAAATTGATAGACTGATAAATATAATAAGTATATTAGATGTAGAATATACATTTACACATTTTCTGTATCTTGTCATTTTTGTAGTTATCAAACATCAACAGGTAGATATTGAATATGTTCAGTGTGACCAAACAAAAATCAATCTGAGTTATTATCACTAACAGCGTCGACATTTAAAAACAACAGTATGATGGAATTTATTTCTACCATTTCTTCGCATTGTTTTCTGTCAGTATTCAGGCTAACATTTTCCAAGGCGCAGAATTGAAAGTTGCAGCATTGAATGACCTCTTCAGCACTAGACTTGTCCAATGAAAACACTTCCCTAACACCAGAACAAAAATTACGGTATCTCGACGCGCGTTTCGCTAGCCAAGTTAGCGTCCTCAGAAATCTCAGGAGATCATTATGATCCATTTAACGCCAGAGGTTCCAGTGCGAACTATCAAACCAGATTTGTCACCCGATGGTAGTTTCTTCTGTAAAGACCTGAAAAGTAAAATCTATAAAACACAACCCATGCATAGAGAGGTGCAGGCCCTCAAAACATAGCAAGATAAAGTTACTTTTGTATCTATCACCTAAAAACCCTAAATTCTCATTATTCCCCAAAGAGCTGAATGCGTGCTACATCCAAAAGAGAAACATAGAAAGAACTTTTCCCTATTGCGGTCGGTGATATTTCTAAATGCTAGAATTTTATTGCTATAGAATTCTTGTAGTTTCAAGCACGAATGATTCAGTAGTTATCTCAAAGTTCCTCTTCAAGAGGAAGATGATCACTTGTTGCAGCTTGTTGTCTGTCAATGGGTATTTTGAACGACATTAGCGACTTGTCGAAGCTGTGGACTCCAACCCTCATTCAATATACGGGTTACGAATATGTCGACTTCGAAGACGTTCTAGTTTGCTTCGCGAAACTTTTGATGAAAAGTGACACTTTACGATATCAAACAATTAGGAGCAAGTATTCTGGGCTGGATTGTGAAAAGATAAGTTCAAATTCGTTGTTAATGGGATCTCTGGTGAGGCAACTAGCCGGTATGACAACTAACTTGTAATGGAGCAATATTTGATGATGTATTCCTTTTATACTAATTTTATTTAGACATTTCAATAAATACGTTTGAAACACACCGTTTTTGAGTTTTTGCTTCTTTGACTATTTTTTGTCTTCAATTCAATATTTGGAGGTGTCTAAAGACCAGGAAATGAGGAAATGAACTGTTATTTATGGCATAATGTGGTGAATCTGATGAAAACAAACTCTACCAATTCAAAATTTTATATTGTTGATGATATCATTATAATTTTCAATTTTGTCTTCATGGATATATATCATGTTAAATCGTCTGAATGGTATGGAATTTTTAAGCCGTGATGATCAACTGTATTGCCAAAAATGTGCCAAACTAACTGACTGTTATAAGAAAACAAGTATAGCCGAGGCAACAGTCAATCTAATAATAATACTAATGATCTTCAAACAGGACTCAACCTCTGACGGAAGCACCAAACTCTAACGAAGGTTCGACATAGATGAACACTTCAATCTAGCAGACCACTATTATAATCTTCATGCAGTCATTGTTCGCTATATTTCTGGCGTTGAATTGGGTCATTATTACGCATTCGTCAAAGACGAAACAGACTGGTTTTTGACGATAGTCGTGTCACTAAGTGTTTTGGCGATGTCTTGAATTCATTGGGGTCTCTGGAGACACACTACATTTTGTTTTATGAGAGAAAGGACATTGGCAGATCAAGATCTTCAGATGATGTGGTGCTACAGGTTATTCGTAACCCGCATAATAAATGAGGGTTGGTTCCAAAGACTCGACAATTCGCTAATGCCATTGAGAATTCCCATTGATAGACAACAGGCTGCAGCAGCCTGAAGCGATGGTTTTACGTGGCTCATGCCGTTTTCCATAAGAGCCAGCTCCAACATATATTTACCTAAGACATGGTGAACCCTGCGTACCTTAGCAATCTGACCGTACCTTCTCAAAAATTCAGTGGATGAGGGGCGACCCAGACCGAAATCGAGGTCAACCAGTATGTCTCTCTACATTTGAAGAATTTTTTTCCAGAATAAATGCGACCGCCTATGAACTTCAAATCATACATGCAGGGATAGAACGTCTCTTCGTATTTAGCGGATAACAAAAATACAGATGTCCCAATTAACTGATATGTATTAAGTCCCACCTTGTTATCCTGTAAGTATCTGTCAATAAGGCTTACACACATATAAAGTGTTTCAATACGCATTTTGAATTTCAATGGCATCTGCACCAGCCAGTCGACGAGTATTTCTCGCATCTTCGGAGTTGTTTCACGTCCATCGAGGAAACCTTTCCTGTTAGGATACTTGTCCTCCAAGGTTCTCATATATTTGAAAATATCCTGAACATATGCGGTCACCATATAAGGATCATTTCTGCAGTCTTCATCGGGATCATCAATATCGAGTTGCCCGCAGTAGTATGACTCGACATCAGACTTTTTAGTGAACCTGTCTTCGGCAACTAGGTTTTGCCATAAAAACAGATTTTGTAAACAATTGTCAAAATTTTTTATAAATAACAGGGTTAGAGCGCGATAAGGAGAACGAAAAAGACTTTGTCTTTGTCCTATCTCCATTATTTTAAGAGTTATTTCAATAACGATGATTAAGCTCATAAACTCCGCAATGAATACAGATTCAAAATAAGTTGGACCAGATAAAATGAGACTGCGTTGAAGTCTCCCAAAAAAAGTATTTCACAAAACCATTCAGTGATTCAAGCTTTTCAAAAAACGTCTTCTGATACTCACTCCTAATCTTTTATCATATATAACAATCTACACACATCNTAAACGACCTCATGCATTTATTTTTATGATATTTAGTATGTTATAAAAATATCCCTAGACTTTTCCGATGTGTGCATTTCAGTATGTTCCGTTCTTTGAGCACCTTAAAAACATTTCAGAACTGAATGTATAACAGGACAGAGAAGCAAAAGTCAAAAAAGTTGATTCCAATTGTTTCTGGAATTACTGGGAAACTCATAACGTTGAAACAAAGTAAGAACTGAAAAACAGTGCTTTTTAAATATATTTATTGAAACATCAAAATAAATTCAACAAAATTAGTTCTCAAATACACCACGAACTAAACAAACAAACACATCAATAAACAAATCAATGAATAATGTTCCATTACTGGTGAGTTGCCATACCGACAAGCCTCCTCACAAGAGATCCCTTTAACAACGAATTCAAACTTATTTGTTGACATTCCGGCCCAGCATACTTCCTCCTGATAGTTTGAAAACTGGAAGTGTCACTTGTCATCAGAATTTTTGCTAAACAAACTACAACTTCTTCGAAGTCAGCATATTCGTAACCCGTATAATAGATGAGGGTTGGATTCCAAAGACTCGACAAATCGCCAATGCCATTCAGAATTCCTATTGACAGGCAACAGGCTGCAGCAGCTTGAAGCGAAGGTTTAACGTGGGTCATATCATATTCCATAAGTGCCAGCTCCAACATATATTTACCCAGCACATGGTGAATAGTGTTTACCTTAGCAATATGACCGTACCTCCTCAAAAAATGAATAGATACCGGGCGACCCAGGCCGAAATCGAGCTTACGCAGTATGTCTCTCTCGGTCTGTAGAATTTTCCTATCGGAATAAATGTAGCTGCATGTAAACTTCAAATCATACAAGCAGGGATAGTAGATCTCTTCGTATTTAGCAGCTATAAACAATGCAGATATCCCAACTAACTGGGATATATTTCGTACCGCCTCGTTGTCCTGTATGTACCTATCAATAAGGCTAACACATATATGAAGTGTTTCAATACGCATATTAAAATTCAAACACACTCCTACTAGCCAATCGATGACCATTTGCCGCATCCTCGGGGTTGTCTCACGACCATTGAGGAAATCTTTTCTGATAGGATACTTATCCTCCATGGTCCTCATATACTTGAAAATATCCTGAATGTACTCCGTCACCATAAAAGGATCGTACTTACATTCTTCATCGGGATCAACAATATCTAGTTGCCTGCAGGAGTATGCCTCAGCAGCAGGCTTCGTAGTGAACCTGTCTGCGACAACTCTGTTTTGGTCCATTATGTTTGATGAAGTAATATGCGGAGGCGACGTTAATATTAATCTCTTGTTTCTTGCTGAAAATAATATAGAAAAAATGTTAGACTGCATTGATAGCTTCAATTAAATCAATGATGAATCAAAGAATCAATGATGTCACTTCAACTTTATCTGACGTTATCTAGTATCCAATGAAGCAACAGTTAATGAACATGAAAATTATAGAAATGGGGAACAGTTATATATATATATATATATCTA